TTTAGGGCCAAACTCCGCGCGAGGCTCGCACGAGAACGCCCTCACAGGGGCCGTAGGTGGAGCTCCTCGTAAGGTTACGATCCGCGCTAACGATAAGCTAAGGTGGGGTAAACACGTGCAAACGCCCACACCAGGACCGTGGCGTGTGAGGGGCGCGCCGACATGGGCGGGGGGACGGATGTGAACGAAACGTCCGAGGGGGGTGCGGCCCTCTCGGGTGACGAAGCGAAACGTGCGAGGGGTGCGCCAAGTCAAGGTTGGGCACGCAGACGGGCGAGGGCGAGGAGGGGCAGGGGAGCGGGGAGCGAGGAGGGGGAGCGAGGAGGGGGAGCGAGGAGGGGGAGCGAGGAGGATGGGGGCGAGGGGGGGAGCGGGGGAGGAGAAGGCGGGACGCGCGGCGCTGCGGATGGACAGCGGGGCTCCAGCAGGCCTCGGGCTCTGCTTCGTGGGGCCCCTGGAGGCACACCTCTCGTGCACGCTCGGGGCCCGATGGGGGGGGCTTCTTCTGGGGCCCCGCGCCTGCAGCCCTCGGTGACGACCCCACTCCCGGCCCCTGCGAAATGCCTGAGTGACAGGAGGGCGGAGATGGTCCAGGGCCCTGCCTTCCCTTCCCCCGCCATCCGACTGCCCCGCGGCGGGAAGGTGGGCGGAGATGGTCCAGGGCCCCGCCTTCACTTCCCCCGCCATCCGACTGCCCCGCGGCGGGAAGGTGGGCGGCAGCAACGCGGCAAGGTCGAGGGAGGAGGACGCGACGGAGGAATGGGGGGGAGGCGGGGGAGGCAGGACGATGAGCAGGGGGCAGCAGACGAGAGGAGAAAGCTTCCCGAAGACTCGCAAAGTTTCCGTGTTTCCCGGGAGTGCTCGGAAGAGTCTGGAGGTCACCAGGGGGGCTCAAGGAAGCAAGAGGGCGGGCGACAAGGGTTTTCGGATGTTTAGCGGCTGCTTTTTGAAGGGGGAGAATGGTGAGGAGGACGGGAAAGGGATGGATGAGAATGACGACAAGGGCGAGGACCCCGAAGACGGAGAATGCATGGGACAAACTAACACAAGAGAGCGCATGATTGCACGGTGGCTCGTCCCTCGTGGACACCATCATCTTGTCGCCCGCCCAATCAAGCGCGTACACGAAGGCGCGCTTGAACCCTCTGACGAAGTCCCGGGATATCGGGTCGTCCCTGTCGTTCTTAGTTGGCCGCGTGTCTGGCAGAGGGCATCAACAAGGTAACGCTGCACTTCACAGCTTAACCAATCAAGCCGTACCCGGCACACCCCTGGCGCACAGTCTTGGGGCCGCCTCCTCATCGAATGCCCGTCGAACTGCCACCAGCCTTGGATTGAACGATTTAGAGCGTTTCCTCTTCCAATCACCTGCTTCGCCTTCGGTGAGGTGTTCATCCCTCCCACTACCACTCACCTGGGTTTGGACGGAGGGTTTCGCGAACGGTGAGAGCGTCCAACATGGCCCAAGATGGTTCAACTATGGCCTCTGAGAGCCCTGAGAGTTCGAGATGACCTCCAAGGTGGCACAGTGTAGTCGACGATTTGTCAAGATAGCCTCCAACCTATAGAGCTCCAAGACCGCCCAAAGACGGCTCTGAATTGCCATGAAGCCTCCAAAGGAGGCCTCCGAGGGGCCAACATGATGCAAGCCACATGCTGCGTGCTTCCCTGCTGGCGTGTCGTTTCGCTAGATGTTCCTAGCGGTGGTAACAGAGGACCGCGGCAAAGTCCCACGGGGGAGACGGGGGGCCAAAGACCGCCCCAGACCGCCCGGCCCGGCGACAACGTCGCCTGAGACTTCCCACAGTGTATGTAGGATCCGTGCTCTCGCCTCACTGCTGGCTATACGCTTGGTTCGGACGGCCGCGATCCCTCATTAGACATACTAGGGTGCACGTGGCCGCGCCCTCAACCTTGCCCCCTGTAGCCGACCTCCTACTCCTCGACGCCCCATTCACCTTTGCAGCAATCAGGGTGCTTTGCTTGGGCAGTGTTGCTCCACATGTTATGGCTTCTTTATGTGGCTTCATATGCCTCAAAATAATGAAGCGGCTCCATGATGGTCCAAGAGAGCCCCAGAAGTGACCCAGGAGGTTCCAAGTAGGCGCCAGGAGCGTCCAAGAGCGTCCCACGAACGCCTCAAGAGGGCTCCTAAGAGGCGATGTTTTGGACTCCAAATCGGCGACGCGAATTTCGCATCCATCCTCTGTTTGACCCGTGACCTCGATGAGGGAGGGCCACACGGCGGCCTCGGGGGCACCACAATAACCCCCAGAGGGCTCCGAACACTTCCAGAACACCCCTAGAAAAATATGGCACCAAAGGGCCTCCTGAAATCTCCAGAAGCGAACGACCCGCGAAAATCTTGCTGGCTGGCTCCTGCCGTCCTCGAGTCGCAGATGCACAATGTGTTTACGTCTGGGTCTCCTCCATTTTAAGTATCCGTCTTCTCCTCTTCCTCCTCCTCCTCCTCAATGTCCTCCTCCTTCTCCTCCTCCTCGAAGCACTCAGGAGGGCCCCGAAGCACCCACGAGGGCCCCCGAGCAACGCAAGAGGGCCCCAATAACTACCAACATGGATCCAAGAGGTATCAAATATAGTTCCATGACGATTTAAAGAGGCTCCTAGGCATACAGATCTGCGGAGGCCTTCATGGCTGACTCAGTTCGTCGTCGTCGTCGTTGGTCAACGGTCGTCGACCGTCAGTCGTCGGTCGTCGATCGTCAGTCGTCGGTCATCGGTCGTCAGCCGTTGGTCGTGGGTCGTCGTTCGTCTGTCGTCGGTCGTCGGTGGTCGATCCTCGATGGTCGGTGGTCGGTCGTCGATCGTCGTCGTCGTCATCGTCGTCATCATCACCGTCGCCTTATTCTTCACCCTCTTCCTCCCACCACCCCCTCAGCCTTCTCGTCGTCCTCCAGAAGTTCAGTGAGAACGTGCTCCCTGAAAGAGCCTGATATTTCCTTCTGCTCCCCCGGTCTCGTAATCCTCCGTCTCCTCCTGCTCCTCCTCCTCCTCCTCTTCATCCTCTTCCATTTCCTCCATCCTTCCTCGTCCATCCTTCTCCTTCTGTCCTCTCTCCACTTCCTCATTCACAAAGCCTGCGGTGGCAAATGTAGCTCAACCTTCGTCTGCTCAATCGCAGCCAGAACTTCGGTTTAACGGCGGCTGCGTCGCTTTGTTGATCCACTGATCCAGCGTAGAAGGCTACCACTCAGTGAGCTTACTGTTAGGTCGGGCATGTCCTCCTACAGGCGGATTCTGGGGGAAAATATAACACAGTCAAAACAGATTCAAACATGGTAAAACAAAGGTAATTCGTCACCAGGCTAATCGTTTTCAACTATTTTTGAACTTTCCTCCTGTAGAGGGACACGCCCGACGTAAGGTTGCTGATCCTCTGAGTGGGGGGGAGGGGCCCTTAGCCAGCCAAGGGCGCCGAACGGCCTCGATCCTCGAACCCCGAGCCCCGAAGGACGACGACTCCTCCTCCTCCTCCTCCTCCTCCTCCTCCTCCTCCTCCTCCTCCTCCTCCACAGCGACCTGGAGGTCCCGCAGCGCGATCCGCCGAGGCCGTGCCACTTCCCGAACCTGCCCTGGCCACAGGCCGCTCAGATATCGGGAGCGGCCAAGGAGGGGGTGTCCGGCGGCATGTGCGCGGCCCAGTGGGGGGGCCAGGGACGTAATGAAACAAGAAGAGGCGCCATGAACTCTGGGGAAATATCATGGCCCCCGCCATGATATCCCCCCCCTAGTCATCACCCCCCTCTTTTCCGCCCCCGAAGACATCCGATGCCGTGCTTTGTTTGCGTGCGGGGCCCGCGGAAGTCCCGGGCCTCCTCCTCTGGGGCCCGTCGTCCTGCAAACCCCTGTCTTACCAGCCTCGAACATATCCCTATCCCTAAGATTGACACGCCAAAAGGCGATGACAATCTTAGGGCTTCGCCCTCAAAAAATAAGGGAATCCCTAAGATTGGCATCGTGACGAGGAGGTGCCCAGCATAGGGATAGGGACATGTTCCAGGCTGGTAACTGTCGGGCCCCGGAGAGCAGGGCTCGAGCGAAGCGATGCCTTTTTGCTCGTGCTCGCTTTGTGCTCGCTCTCCTTCGCTCTGTCCTCGCTCTGCCATGGCTGCGGGACGGGGTCGAAGCGAAAACGGTCCACGAAGTCGCCAAAACACGGTTTCGCTCGAGCCCTGCCCTGGAGGCCGAGCACGGCGGACAAACACTCCATCTTGATCTGTGCCCAATGCGCTGGACGTCTGGAGAGGGAATTGGCCGACCCCCGTCAGCACTGACCACGAGATCCGCGCCCCGGCCCTCCCTGAGCGCGGCTCCCTCCCTCGTCTTCCTCCGCGGCCGCCTTCCCTGTCGTCACCCCTCCTCACTGACCAGGAGACGTAAGACTCGAGTTTGGAGTGCGCCACGAATATATGTATGTGTATATATATAGATAGATATAAAGAAGAAGAAACGAAGACGCCCTCCGACGACCTTCCGTTGTACCTTCAGGGATGGCGGCGGTGTGTAAAGTCGCTGGCTCGCAGTGGTGATTTATACACCGCCACTCTCCCCTGAGGCCCAGGCACAATCCATAGGAGGGTGTATGTGTCCATTTGTTGTGGCGGATGGAGGACTCGAGTTGGCCTGACAGGGCCGCCAGACAAACGACGAGACCCAGCCCGAACTCAGAACACATCCCGCCGCCAGCCGAACACCCGACGGAAAATTGGGCTCCCGCTGCGAGCACCCCACTGCCAACAACTGCGCCCCTCCAGTGCAACACGTGGCGGGCTCCCGCGGCAAACATCCCACGGAAACTTGGCCGTCGAAGTGCAGGACTGGCTCGTCAGAGGCTTCGGCAATCCCGACCCCCTGAAAGCTCGAGCCTTACGCCTCCACAACACCGGCACTCAGGCGCCACTAGCCCTGTCGCGTCCCGGCAGCTCCTCCCTACCCAGGCATTGCCCGATACGATCTTGCCAATCCGCGATCCCATAACGGCGGGTATGGCGACCCTAGTTCCGACCTTGTGGGGTCTCCAAATGGACCAAATATTTGACGCCAAACTCGGGGATATACAAAGGGGGGCGTCCATCCTCGAAAATGGTGCGTCCGAATAGCCCAAAAGCGTGTATCTCCGAGTTCCCTCTTTTTTTTCTGAGCGACCCAATTTCTCACTCAGAATTCTAGGATTGGGGTCGATAAGCCGCCTGCAACCCCAGAGCTCCCGACCCCCTCCCCGCGGCATTGTTCCGCCTCGGATATGTTTTGATGGCCCCACGGCCCGAAAGCTCACCGCAGAGGCCGAGATCGAGAAAGAACGCCCGAATTAGAAAACCCATGTCGTCGGAGCTCTGGGATTGGCTCTGCCGCGTCCCTGCTCGAGCCGTTACGTTTCGCGCCGCTCAACCCCCCCAACAGGTCGGCGCTTGGCGTCGACGGTCGATGTTCGGCGGCTGCCGACGCCGCCGCCGTCGCCGCCGCCGCTGCCGCCCCTGCTGCCGTTGCTGCGGCCGCCGCCGCCGACGCCGTCGTTGTCATCGTCGTCGCCGCCGCCGCCGCCGCCGTCGTCGTCGTCGTCATCGTTGTCGTCGTTGTCGTCGCGCGCCGCTCAACCTCCCCCAACAAGACTCGGCCTGGCGGGCCCGCCCCTAGCAGGGGCGCCGATCGAGCCCGTCCTAGGACGGCGACCGGCGCTGGCGCCCAGGAGAAGATCCTCTCGAAGCCCCGGTCCTGAGGGGGAATGGCGCCTGTCGTGCCCGTCTTCGTTCTGCTAAGGAGGAAGAAGCAGCGGCCAAAGACTTCCGGAACGCCGCGCAAGTTTCTTGACTCGGCGCTGGGCCCCCTGGCGGCGCCTTCGGCCCCGCCCCTGGCACGCTCCGCGCGCCAAGGGAGCTGGTCCAGCGCCGATCCCCGAAATCCGCGCGGAGCTCCAGAAGACGATGCTTATGCGTTGCTTAGTTCGCGCTTCACGTACACCGGACTCACTTCTATAGCGCTCACTTCTATAGTGCTCACATTGAAATTGAGGTCCGGAAGGGGCCGCACATGCAGGCACATGCCGCACAGTCGCATGCACATGCCCATGCAAATATACAAAAGCCTCAACAGCATTGCCGCACATGCGCGCACATGCCACACCGTCCGACGCACAGCCGAATACACAGTCAAGCAAAACTCTGAAAGCCTAGACGCACATGCCCGCACATGCCGCAGAGATGTCGCAGGCGATAGTGGCCTGACCACCTGAGTTCGGGGCATTTCCCAACCCAGAGTTGCGAGGGTGTCTCGGGCAAGCGTGGCCGGACCACCATGGGGCAGGGCATCTTGGAAACCACAGTGGCGAGGATGTCGCTGGTCAAGGTGACCAGACCACCATGGGGCAGGACACCTCCGAGGTCTGAGTTGTAAGGATGTCTCAGGCGAAAGTGGCCTGACCACCATGGGGCAAGAGATCTCTAAGGTCAGAGTTGCGAGGATGTCTCTGGCGAGAGTGGTCTGACCACCTCAGCCCAGGGCGTCTCGGAACCCAGAGTTGCGAGGATGTGGAGCGACCCCGCCCCGTGGGTTCCGCTTGCCGCAGCGATCGCTCCGCGAACGTGCCAGCTCAAGCGGAGAAAAAACCGAGTGGCAAGAGAACAGAGGAGGAGGAGGAGGAGGAGGAGATGTCTCAGGCAGGAGTGGCCTGACCACCTGCTCAGGGCATCTCGGAACCCAGAGTTGCGAGGGTCTCCGGCGAAAAAGGCCGAGACACTATGGAGCAGGGCATCATTGAGGTCAGAGTCTCGAGGATGTCTCAGGCGAAAGTGGCCTGAACACCTCAACTCAGGGCATCTCGGGCGAGGATGCCTAAAGCGAAAGTGGTCCAACCACCTCAGCTCAGGGCGTCTCGGAACCCAGAGTTCCGAGGATGTCTCAGGCGAAAGGGGCCGAGACACTATCGAGCAGGGCATCATTGAGATCAGGGTTGCGAGGATGTCTCAGGCGACAGTGGCTGACCACCTCAGCTCGGGGCATATCGGAATCGAGACTTGCGAGGATGTCTCAGGCGACAGTGGCCTGACCAGCATGGGGCAGAAGGTCTCTGAGGTAAGAGTTGTGAGGATGTCTCAGGCGAAAGTGGTCTAACCACCTCAGCTCAGGGCGTCTCGAAACCCAGAGTCCCGAGGATGTCGCAAGCGAAAGTGGCTGGGCCACCATGGGTCAGGGCATCTCCGAAACCAGAGTTGCGAGGATGTTTCAGGCGAAGGTGGCCAAATCACCTCATGTCAAAGCATATCGGCTCCAGAGTGCCGACGACGTCTCACGCGGTACCGGCCGGAACACTTCGAGACCCGCATTTGCAAATCTGGAGCGGAGAGGACGTCCTGTAGGCGACGGTGCCCAGATCATCCCAAGTCGCGGCATATTGAAACCAAGACTTCCGAGGATGTCTCTCGCGAAACGGGCCTCCTCCTCCTCCTCCTCCTCCTCCTCCTCCCCCTCGCCCTCTCCGTGGATGCTGTTCGCTGGCACGCAGCCCGAAACGCGGATCGCGAATGCATGCTCCTCCCCGTCCTCCTCCATGACCTCCTCTTCCTGCTCTTCCTGTTCCCCCCCCTCCTCCTCCTCCTCATCCTCCTCCTCCTCCTCCACCTCCTCCTCCTCCTCCTCCTCCTCCTCCTCCTCCTCCTTCTCCGCCCTCCCATCGCGTCACACTCCACACCTGGTTCCTCGCTCTCCTCCTCCTCCTCCTCCTCCTCCTCCTCCTCCTCCTCCTCCTCCTCCTCCTCTTCCTCCGCCTCCTTATCCTCATCCTCCTCTTCCGCCGCCGGCCGAGCCGAGCCGAGCCGCGCCGGCGGGCGGGCCGGCCGAGAGGGACGACGACGACGACGACGACGACGACGACGACGATGACGGCGGTGGCGGCGGCGGCGGAGGGAGAACAACAGGGCAACATTAAATAGTTCGCACACCATCTAAAAATCCCGAAGGTCTCCGGAAATCTCCGGAAGTCCCTGGACACCTTCGGGACTCATCCGAGGCCCAGCGCGGGCCGAAAACATCCAAAAACTTGAAAACAACCTCGAAAACGACCACGGCGACGACGACGACGACGACGGCGGCGGCGGCGGGCGCGGCGGCGGCGGCGGCGGCGACGACGACGCTATTTTCGACGCGGGAGTGCTGCTCGGGATCCCCTGTCACAAGCATTCGAACCCCATGGAATGCACCGCTGTGTCCCGTGCGCGCGTGGAGAAACGCACCAATCGAATTGCAAGTCAGCCAAGCCCCCCATCCCCGTTGGTCCCCCCCCTCCCCAGAACATTACAGCTAGAAGCACCTATTTGGCCGCCTCGGGCGCCTTCGATCGGCGCCGTTTCCTAAGCTTTTCTTGCCACGCGTTCTTGGCAGCCTCCTCTGCCTCCTTCTTGGCCAATCTATCCTGGGCTGCCTTGCGCAGCTCAGCCGATTTAGCGCGAATTATCTTCAAATTATCTTCATTCGGGGTGCCGTCGGGGAGGCACAGGAAAATGTCTCCGCGCATGTTAACCTTACGCTGGGCCTCGAAGCAGAATTTACAGGTGGCGGCGCCGTCGCTCCGCCACACTAAAAAGTATGTTACATATCTTGCATCCCGTCTTAGCCTCCCCAGGGCGCCCGTAAGCCTGGCCGGACCAATTGCCCTCAGAACAGAGCGTATCATCGGACTGCAGGGCGAGGAGCACTGCCGCTTTGTCAGCGCCGGCGGAGATGAGATCCTTCGCAGACCGCCCAGCGTGGAGGTAGTTTAAGATCCGCTGCTCAGTGAAGGGGCCGCTGGTTTCCTTGGGCGGGGCTCGCCAATGTCAGGCCCAGGTTGCATGAACTTCTGAGCTTATGAGGAGCGGTCATGGGGCGGGAGTGTGTATAGCAGCATCGCTGATGCATCCCAGGTTCTCTCTGGTCCTCCTCCTCCTCCTCCTCCTCAACTTCCCCTCTCCTACTGTACTCCGCACTCCCCCACGCACTCCCCCCCTCCTGCGCGGGGAAGCAAGGGGAGGGGGAGCAAGAGGGCGAGGGTTTGGAAACCCGAAATGGGCACCGAAAGAATGGGTACAATGCCCAACAACAAATGTTGTCCCAAACCAACAGCGGCCGCTGTTGGGCACGCGGCCTTCTGTCTCGAATGGACACAGGCCGCGGCGGCGCGGACAGCGAGCCCTGTTCAAAATGAACAGGAACTGCTGTTGGGCATCGTACCCATTGTTTCAGTGCCCATTTCGGGCGTCCAGAGAGGGGGGGAGAGGGCGGAGAAAACGGTTGGACGGCCGACCTGTGGCGGGCCTCTGGATTAAGCGACTTCGCCCGGTAATCGCCCACCATGGTTCTGACCGTGGCGTTCCGCTCCTCCGGGCCCTGGTTGTGCAGAGCCCGAAGTATGTCCCAGACGAACCGGCTGAACGTCACCTGGTGCGCGGCGCCGTTGGTCACGTGCACCACCCTGGAGTCCTTGACGCGAACCATCTCCGCGTAGCCCTCGGACAGCTTTTGCAGGTGCCATTCCATGACGTCCGCTTGCATGTCAGGGCGCTGCTGCTTCCAACAAGCACTGTCCTTGACAAGCGCCACGACGGCCTGCCTGAAGAATCGAAGCTCCCCGACGTTCTCCGAATGAGCCTTCGCGGCGATGTTGAGGAGCGTCGTGCCCGCACTCTTGGGCCGGTCCTTGTCCAAGGCGCCCTGAGTGGCGCCAGGGGAGGACTTGGCTTTCTTGGACAACGAGGCCAAGGCGTCCGGCTGGAGCTTCCTCTTGGCGCGCACCACCTCGGCTGCGTGAGCTGCCACCGCCGCCTGCTGGGCAGCGGGCGCCGGGGCGGCGGGGCCAGGGCCGGCTGCGGGGGCCGACCCTGAGAAGTCGCAATCCTTGTGCGTCCACATCAAGGCTTTCTTGACTGCGGCCTGCCGCTGGTCCAAGTCCGTCAGCCCCGCGCACACCAGGTCCATGTTGTCCCCGACCAGCCGAGCTGCCGCTTCCCTGGACAAGTAGCCCAACCGTACGGCAGCGCCCAACAGCGTCGTCTGCGGGAACTCCTCCCATGCTGCCACCAGTGCGGCCACGTGCAAGTACGCGGTGGGGCCCCTCCGGATCCCGGCCTCCGACCGGTACGGACCTCCTGGCCGCATGGCCTGGGCGGAACGCGGCCGCATTCGTAGGATCGGGTGCTGCCCCACGACCTCGCGCAAGGCCTTGTGGAGGTGGTGCAATAATGCCTTGTGCACCTGGTCGTTCCAGCATTGTTCCGGCGTGCCGTTCCTGGCGGCGAACGCGGCAGGGCGAGCGCTGCGCGCGCCTGTGCGGGGCGTGAGCGGGGCGCCCCGTCTGGCGGGGCCGCGCCATCAAGCGAACGCTGCGTCCGCGCGCGGCTTGCGCGCGGACGCGAACGCGCCGGCGCCCGGAGGCGAACGCTGGCCCCGGCATTCTTGCACGTCCCGCACATGCCCCGCACAGGTACGCACAGTATCCGCACAGGCCGAGCTCGCCAGTGGCCGATCCAGGCCAGCGGTCCTGCTGTAAAGATGGCGGACGATCCTGTGCGTCCCCAGGAGGTCCATGCGGCACTTCTTGAATCCCGACTTTTTGGTCTTCGTGCACTTGTCACCGCAGTGACACGGCGCCTCGTCCTCCATGTACATGACGGGGTGGACGGCCGGCTTCCCATGGACCTTCCGCAGGTCTTCTGCGAAAGGCACCACCATCTTCGTCAGGACCTTGTCGTGGTGAAGGCTGCTGTTCATCCACTTATCGCCGACGTGGAGCACGACCTTGTCCCCGAAGTCCTTCTGAATAAGCTTCTGCTGGAAGGCCGAGCACTGCTTCATCATGATTAAGATCTTCCCCTTCCGCAACGCAGAAAAAAAAGACCGCGCAAGTCAATGTCAAGCGGCTTGTGGATGACCGGGCGGTGCGCCTGCGAGTGCCCTGCCGTTCGTCGCCCGCCGCTTGGACGCGCTTGGGCACGCGAAGCTTGAAGTCATTGAACTCATCGTACGACATCACCATTTCAATGGGGATGTCATGCTGCACGCGCTTCACACGGAAATCTTCAAAATGAACGCGGTTTTCCTCGGGATCGACACGCTTGATCTCCGTGCTGGCGACGGCCGTGTCCTTGATGTCGAGGGCGGCCTTCATTTTGCAGAACCACCCAGTCCCCACTCTGGCGGGGACGGACATGGCCCTGCCCGCTGCCTTGTCCGCCTCGCGCCGCACGTCCAATCCGTCCTGGAATGACGCGAGGAGATCACTGAAAGAAACGTCCTCGTCGTTGTCCCTCGCGTCCTTGTGATCCTGGTGGAACGCCCGGACCACGTCCTCCAGACCAGGCCATTGTCTCATCAACGACAGCCGGTTGGCACGAAAGAACCCCTTCAACTCAGCGATCTTCCTGTCCAAGGGCGGGTTTGGAACAGCGGGGGCTGCCTCCGACCGCCGCCCCTGCCAGTCCTTTGGCAACTTGTATATGTTATTCAGAGGGTTCTCGCCATACCGCTTGACCGCCCAAGGGCAGGATGGGATGGCATCCCACTTTTGCTGGACGCGCTGATCCGCCCAAGCCGCAGCATCTCGCAAGCGAACCCGCACCTGAAAGGTTTCCACGAAGATCGTATAGGGCAGCATCGGGTCGTTCTCCCACGCCCCGTTCGCCGAACTGACACCAAGCCGGTGCTCCACCACCTGCAATATCTGCATTTTTTGCGCCAGGCTCCAAGCTTGCCGGCGTCTGCGCGCCTGCCGGTAACAAGCGAGAAAAAATGAAAGGAAGGATAAGGAGTGAGGGGGGGAGCGGGAAGTGAGGGGAGGGGGAGGGGGAGGAAGGAGGGGGCAGAAAGAAGAGGTCTCACCACCCCCTCTGGAGACCCAAGTGGATCTGACACCCGCGGCATTCCTGCGCCACGCCAGTCGCCGCCTGCTGGCCGGGCTCAAGGGCGGGCGCAGCCGGGCCGCCAGCATCTGCTTGCACAGCCGCGCCAACAGCACCGTCCGGAGGACCGCCTGGGCTTGCGGAGAGCGGACCGCCTGGGCTGCCGGAGAGCGGAGTCGGCGGTGCGGCGCCCATCGCTGCCGTGCTGGGCGCGGCGGGCACCTGGGCGACCATGACGCTGTCCGCGGGCAACGCCGAAGCCTCGAGGGACTCCGCGGCCGCCGGACATCCACCTCCAGGAAGACCCGCGTCAACACCCATCCCTTCCTCGGCGACCGCAGTCGGTGGAGCTACGACGGCGCCGGCGGCGCCGGCCACGACGGCGCCGGCCAGGGCAGGGGCACCCGCGGGCTCAGAGACCATTGCCGGCATCATCGACTTGACGTGCGCGGCCAACTTGACAGCTGGGCCGCGTTTGACGCCCAACGCCACCAAGTCTTCCACCTCGGGGTGGCCAATACAGAGGAGTGGTACGGCCTCAGACTGCACCAAGATAGCTCCAAGATGGCCTAAATGACTCGACGGGGCCCCGGGATGGCCTGAGGGAATCCCCATGGGAGCCGAGGGCGGTCGCGAGAAGATCCATGGACATCCCCAGAACCGACGCCATCGAAAGAGCCTCGCCGTCGACCCCCTCGTCGGCCAGCTTCGCCACGGTGCCCTCCGACAGCCCGTGGCTCTTCGCCCAATCTGTCACATCGGCGACGGTCCATTCCACGATGCTCATGGGTGCAAGCAAGTCGGCGCGGGCGACTCTCGGCGGCGCGCCGAGGGGGGCAGGGGGAGGGGGGAGGCTTCCTTAGAAGGCAGGGTGCTTCTTAGAAGCCTTCACATGGCTTCTTAGAAGCCTCCCCGTGCTTCTGAGAAGCAGCCGGCCTGCTAAGAAACCCTGCCCCCTCCCCCTGCCCCCTTCGGCATCCCACTGGGGAGGCGACGACCTTAGAGCCCAGCTGGCTACGGACAGAGCCCTTCCCCCAGAACGCCTCCAGAAAGCCCTCGGCGGGGTTGCAAATTAATGCGATTGGCGCCCCCCCAGCCGGAATCCCACCAGCCCTCTGGGCGTCGGTGGTTTAGGGCGTTTCCTCTTCCACCTATCCCTCTTCCCCTTGGGGGAGGGGTTTACCCCTCCCCCTACCCCCTCCCCGCTGACCTGGACAGGAGGGGCGGAGAGCGGTCAGAGCGTCCAAAACGGCCTCGGCGAGGAAACCAAATTCATTGATTTTACTAGGGTTTGGGCCCCATTTTGGCCTTCTGAGGGGGCAGCGCTAATTTGAGCCCCCCTCTTCTTTGATCGATTTCCTTCACGATGGCCGCAAGAGGCCCCCAGGATGCCCCAAGAGGCCGCAGGATGGCCCCAGGATGGCCCCAAGAGGCCCCCCAAGAGGCCCCCAGGAGGCCCCCAACCCCAAGAGGCCCCCAAGAGACCCCCCAGAGGCACCCAAGGTGCTCCCAGAGGCCCCATTTTGGCCTCCTGAGGGCGCAAAAATGGCCCCAAGAAGCGCCCAGGAGGCCCCCAAAGGCCCCAAGATGGCCCCAAGAAGCCCCAAGAGGCCCCCAGGAGGCCCCAAAGAGGATCCCGAACGGCCCACAGAGGCCCCCCCGAGGCACCCAAGACGCCGAAAAGCCCCTCAGGACGACCCTCTACTCGCCTGGGCGTCGTTTCTGGACGGGCTGGTGGGGATACGCGAAGCGTCTAGAATTCTGACCTCGGGTTTCCGGTGACAAGTACAAACAAATATCAATTTGGCCTGGCACACCCTCGCAACTCAGATCTCGAGGAAGCCCTGCCCCATGGTGGTTTGGCCACTTTCGCCTGAATCATCCTCGCAACTCTCGGTTCCGAGAGCCCTACCTCGGGCCGTCAAGCAACTTTCGCCTGAGACATCCTCGCAACTCTCACCTCGGAGATGCCCTGCCCCATGGCGGTCAGGCCACTTTCGCCTGAGACATCCTCGCAACTCTCGATTCCGAGACCCCCTGAGCTCGGGTCGCCAGGCCACTTTCGCCTGAGGCATCCTCGCAACTCTCGATTCCGAGATGCCCTGGCCTCGGGCCGTCAAGCCACTGTCGCTTGAGACATCCTCGCAACTCTCACCTCGGAGAAGCCCTGCCCCATGGCGGCCAGGCCACTTCGCCTGAGACACCCCCGCAACTCTCGATTCCGAGATTCCCTGAGCTCGGGCCGTCAAGCCACTTTCGCCTGAGACCTCCTCCTCCTCCTCCTCCTCCTTCGCCTCTGGCCGAGCCGAACAGGCGGGCGGGCCGGCCGAGCCGGGGGCATCCGCCTCCTCCGTCCCCCCCTCCTTCCCCTCCTCCTCCTCCACCCCCCCATCCCCGCCCCTGCTTCTCCGGCCGAGCAGAGAAGGCGCGCGGGAGAGTGTTTTACTAGGAGGGCACGCCACCGCCAGGTCACGAACCGGGCGAAGAACCGCCCCCGCCAGCAGCGGGCGAGCCTAAGCGCACAACGAACTCTTTCAGGTAGCCGTGGCACGCCCCAGGTATGTAGCTCTGCGAAGGCCAGGAGGCATTGGAGGCACAGGGGTCCCAGACAGCTCTTAGGGCATGTGCGTGCATGTGCATTGGGATGTGCACGCATGTGCGCCCGCGCGCTTCACCGCATGTGCGTGCATGTGCGGGCCCGCGCGGCCTCCCGAAGAGAGGTTGCACAGGCATGTGCGTGCATGTGCCGATTACAGATCTGCGATTCTCGAACACCTCCCGCATGTGCGGGCATGTGCGTGCATGTGCGACGGACTGTGCGTGCATGTGCGTATGATGGATACACCAAAACACAGCGCACATGCCCCCGCACATGCCCGGGCACGACGTGCACAGTAGGAAGTCCATCAAAGAAGGGCCGCACAGGGCTGGCACATGCCTGGCACATGCCGCGCACATGCGCGCACATGAGAGCGCAAAAACGGCCGCACATACACCCACCCAGGGGTATAGATGTGAGTGCGGTGTAAGACCATGCCCTAATGAGGCTTTGCCTGCAAGGGGGGGTCCTCGGGGGATCCCAGGCCTTGTTTCTTTGCAGTGGCATTCCTTGGGGCTCCATGGTCCTGATCCTCGTCTGACGGGTTGGAGCCCTTAGATTTAAGAACAGACCTCCCAGCCCGCCAGCGCCGCAGACCGCGGCCGCCGGATCCCCAGGTCCACCGAGAATCCCCCGATACCCCCGCCTCGCCCCTGGGACGAACACGACAGACCCTGACAGAACTGAACACAAAACCACACATCACAATATAACGGAGCATCGCACACCGCAGCATATCATGACTGAGCATACCATTACATACAAAAAGCAGAGCCGAGCACACCGCAACACAACCTCGCAGCTGATATCAATGCATCGCATGGCAAATCATACCAAGACAGAGCGCGGCATACCATCATGTAAATTTAGCCGAGCGTGGAATCTCATAACGCCCTCACAGAACACAACAGAACTCAGCAGGCCATATCATAGCATATCACTGCATCACAGCGTGTGCAATATCATAGCGGATCCTACGAAGCGAAGCATCTGATCACAAACCACAGCATGCCATAGCATAACACGACATGACATATCATAATCTACCATATCAAACCATATCATACAAAGGTATGTCAGACCTTAACTTAACAAAGCGTCGCAAGCCCGATCACCCCATACCATGACAACACATACCATGACTGAGCAATGTACAACATTGTATGGTGTAGCGGAACACAACGTATCATAATGCCATAACAGATCAGGTAATGATATCACATAACATGACAGACCAAATAATATGATGATGCAGAATAGCAGCGCATGCAATGACAGACTCGAGCACACATATCAGAGCATAACACACCACTCCATGACAAAACACAACATATCATAAGAGAACAGACCATGCCCTCACAGAGCGTACAGAAATCATGGAATGTGACACCATGAAATCGCCTAACACCGCATCACATCACATAACATTTAAATCCATGACAACGCATTACATGCCAGAACGATGCATCACACGACATGCAACATCAGGAAATAGCAAAGCATTGCAGAGCATACCACCGTATGGCATGACGAAGCAGAGCATGGCAGAAGCAAGATCGAATACAACGTAACCTGGCAGCGCATACCATGGCATAGTGGAGCATGTAAGACATAACAGATCCTAACACAACATGCCAGACATGTCTTATGATTGCTATCGCGACGGCAGTGACCGTACTATAGCATCATACTTTATCAGATTGCAGATGCAAATTCTGACATACCAGAACGTAGTATTATACAATGAACATGGCACGCCGCCGACGGCATAACAATGGCATGACATCATGACAAATAACTTTATTGAAGCTTTGCGCCAGAACATGGTTAGTTATGCTATACTGGACTGAACTGATCTTCGCGTAAACAGCTCCGCTGACCAGAGCACACCATAGCATAGCCTGAAAGAAACAACATCATGTTATAGCGCGGTGCCACGGGGCAAGGCATAGCATAACACATCACAGCACACTGTGACACATGTGGGCATGATAGGGCATTCTTTCACAGGAAAGACAGCAATGAATGAAGAAGAACACTATAACATCGTAAACCGCACGATCAAATAATCAAACGCGAAGCGCGCGCCAAGGTCAAGCTGGCAACAATAACCAATAGGCGCAGCCGCGACCGATGCGACGACGTATCTAACGTGGCAAGCGTCACGACGTCACGCTGCCCCGTCGAGAACATAACCGGACATACCAGAGCATACCATAATATAACATTACTACATGGAACATAGCTGACAACTGCTGTAAGCAACAACGAGAATCTTGAAGAGGACACTCACGACATAACAAAACGTAGCATAACATGACCGGGCACTCATTACACACTAGAAGGAATTTAGCGTATCGCCGACAGCATGACAAAACACAACAACACATCACACAACAAACAAAAGCGACGTGCGCGCCGAGGTCTAACTGGACACAGGCATCAACAGGTGCAACAACGACCGATTGAACGACGTATCTAACGTGACAGGCGTCACGACGTCATGCTGGTCCGTCGAGAATATAACAGGACATACTAGAGCATCACGTAGAAAAACATTACCACATGGAGCTTCGCTGAGAACCCTTGTATACAACAACGCCAGCTCCCAACAGGAAAATCACGACATACCACACATTACATACCATATCAGAGCGCAACATGATAGACTTTGACGAACTGAACACAATGGAAACAGCATCACTGAACATTATATCGTCGCATATTGCCTGACATAACATACGATGCCATAGCGTGGTACGACAGAACAGGGCACAACATGACATATCAAAGCGTACTGTGACAGAGCTGGGCATACAAGAGCATACTTCGAGAAGAAAGGAGTGAAGACGAACTCCTGCTCCTCCTCCTCATACTGCTTCTCTCCCTCCTCTTCCAACGGGCTGCATATTCTCTCCGAACATGTTCTGGGGTCTCGCACCGCGCGTTTTGGGTGAAGTTTGTTTCGCCCGAGGGCTTGTTTCGGATTCTTTTGTCCGGGGCCCTGGGGCTGTTA